AGAAAAGAACTATTTTGCAATGAAAACTAATGGAATTAGGTGGTGTTCCTGAAAAAATGGATGAACATTTTCACTGGGGACCTATTTTCTATGTATGTAGTTCTGCAAGGAATAGGGCCCACTTCATGTATGATTATTATATACGTAATTCCCTTTGGGGAGCAGCAATCCTGGATGTCTGAAGTCCGTAAACTAGAACGTTTCAACAAAAAAACAGGTCCCCCGAAATGATCAATTTCTTTTCATATTGTATTTAAAAAAATAGTTTTTCAAGCTCAACGAAGGGTACCCCCCACGACCGGCGTCGTAGAACTATGAAAAAACACTAGTTTGCAATGAAAACCAATGGACTTAGGTGGCATTCCTTTAAAAAATGATGAATATTTTCACTGGGGACCTATATTCTATGTATGTAGTTTTGCAAGGAATAGGGTCCCCTTCATGAATAATTATTATATACGTAATTCCCTTTGGGTAGAAGCAATCCTGGATATCTGAAGTTCCTAAACTGAAACGTTTCAAGAAAAAAACAGGTCCCCCGAAATGATCAATTTCTTTTTATATTGTATTAAAAAAATGAGTTTTTCAAGCTCACCGAAGGGTACCCCCCACGAACGGTGTTGGAGAACTATGAAAATCAACTAAAAAAATATTTTGCAATGAAAACCAATGGACTTAGGTGGCATTCCTTAAAAAATTGATGAATATTTTCACTGGGGACCTATTTTCTATGTATGTAGTTCTGCAAGGAATAGGGTCCCCTTCATGTATGATTATTATATACGTAATTCCCTTTGGGGAGCAGCAATTTTTGATGTCTGAAGTCCGTAAACTAGAACGTTTCAACAAAAAAACAGGTCCCCCGAAATGATCAATTTCTTTTCATATTGTATTAAAAAAATGAGTTTTGCAAACTCACCGAAGGGCAACCCCCACGACCGGTGTCGGAGAACTATGAAAATAAACTATTTTGCAATGAAAACTAATGGACTTAGGTGGCATTCCTTCAAAAATTGATGAATATTTTCACTGGGGACCTATATTCTATGTATGTAGTTTTGCAAGCAATAGGGTCCCCTTCATGTATGATTATTATATACATAATTCCCTTTGGGGAGCAGCAATCCTGGATGTCTGAAGTCCGCAAAAAACAGGTCCCCCGAAATGATCATTTTTTTTATACATTGAATTAAAAAAATGAGTTTTTCAAGCTCACCGAAGGGTATCCCCCACGACCGGTGTCGGGAAACTATGACCAAACACATATTTTTGCAATGAAAGCCAATAAAATGAATGAATATTTTCACCGGGGACCTATATTCTATGTATGTAGTTCTGAAAGGAATTTTATCTCTTCCAATCAAAAGGGTGTATATGATATACGTAATTCCGTTTGGGGAGTAGCAATCCTGGATGTCTGAAGTTCCTAAACTGGAACGTTTCAACAAAAAAACAGGTCCCCCGAAATGATCAATTTCTTTTCATATTGCGTTAAAGAAATGATCTTTGTCGTAGAACTATGAAAAAAATATGTTGCAATGAAAACCAATAGACTTAGGTGGCATTCCTTTAAAAAAATGATGAATATTTTCCCTGGGGACCTATTTTCTATGTATGTAGTTCTGCAAGGAATAGGGTCCCCTTCATGTATAATTATTATATAATATACGTAATTCCCTTTGGGGAGCAGCAATTTTTGATGTCTGAAGTCCGTGAACTAGAACGTTTCAACAAAAAAACAGCTCCCCCGAAATGATCAATTTCTTTTCATATTGTATTAAAAAAATGAGTTTTTCAAGCTCACCGAAGGGTACCCCCCACGACCGGTGTCGGAGAACTATGAAAATAAACTATTTTGCAATGAAAACTAATGGACTTAGGTGGCATTCCTTCAAAAAATGATGAATATTTTTCACTGGGGACCTATATTCTATGTATGTAGTTTTGCAAGCAATAGGGTCCCCTTCATGTATAATTATTATATACGTAATTCCCTTTGGGTAGCAGCAATCCTGGATATCTGAAGTTCCTAAACTGGAACGTTTCAACAAAAAAACAGGTCCCCCGAAATGATCATTTTTTTTATATATTGAATTAAAAAAACTGAGTTTTTCAAGCTCACCGAAGGGTACCCCCCACGAACGGTGTCGGAGAACAATGGAAAAAAAATAGTTTGCAATGAAACTACTGGAATTAGTTGGTGTTCCCAAAGGAATGGTTAGCTATTTTCATTGGGGACCTATATTCTATGTATGTAGTTCTGCAAGGAATGGGGTATCTTTCATGTAAAAGTATAAGGGTATATATCAATATAATATATCATATACGTAATTCCCTTTGGGGAGAAGCACCCCTGGATGTCTGAAGTCCGTAAACTAGAACGTTTTAACAAACAAAAAAAGGTGCCCCGAAATGATCAATTTCTTTTCATATTGTATTAAAAAAATGTTTTTTTCAGGCTCACCGAAGGGAAGAATTCGTATGGAAAAAAATGGAAAAGTGAAGAATTTGTATAGAAATGCGAAGGATTTCTTAAAATATATATATATACATATAAATACATGGAAAAATGATCAATTTGACTGAACAAGTGAAAGAATTTGTATGGCAAAAATATGGAAAAGTGAAGAGTTTGTATTTGTATGGAAACGTGAAGGATTTATAAAGAAAAGTGAAGAATTTCTATGGAAAAATGACGAATTCGTCTGGAAAAGTGAAAGAATTTATATGGCCCAACGATATTCTAAGTATAGGTTTTTTGACGTCAACTGTATTCTAAGTAAATGTTTTCAAGTTCAATTATGGGGATGCCCTGGGAAGCCAAAATTTCAATTCTATATTCTATGTGGGCGGGGTCCATTATATATTATAAATTATATATTATATATAATGACAGTGTATATAATTGAGTAATATTCCACTCATACTGGGTACCAAAAACATCCGGATTCACTGTGGCGAATTCTCCAACCAGAAACTAACTCTCCAGAAGCTATGCAGGATAACCAACTGTAGATTCATCATGATATATCCAATCGTTGGGATATGCGGGGGGCCGATGTGTGGCTAGCTCGCTTCTTCCTGGGATTTTTCCCACTACCAGTCACCAGCTTGCCCTTTTTATGACACATCGAGCCGCAACTCAGCCGCAGTTGCTGCAGTGGCTGACGCTGCACAAGCGTCGTTCCGAACCAACTCGCCAGTCACTTTCAGGAACACGTCTCCATACTGTGGATGGTTGCGAAATACTGCACCAGTTCATAGGTGGTTTATCCATGTTTATCCCGTTATTGATAGGGCTTCAAACATCCAAAGTGCTGCAGGATTTCTTCCTCGTACCCAGAAAAAATCTAGATGGTCATCATTGGTTCCTGGGTGAAATCCCTCTTGATGAAATCTCCCTCTGGCTTGAGGGCCAAGCCCGTTAGAAAGTCCAAGTTCTTCGATGGCTCAATTGATCTAAATTGCTAAATCAACTTTGTCTCAATGATATTTCCACATTATGTCCACTATTGATTGGTGAAATCATGTTAAATCATGATTCTGCTCGGTCCAAAAGTATGACACAGCTGTACACTCTTGGCGCCAGTCACACATCGCATTATCTGAAACAGAAACCGCACCTGGGCGTTGTATATGCTCCCTGGAGATGGTATAGCTACAAGAATGGTTGGTGTCTGGGCTAAATGTTGATAAGTATTCAATACATGGAGCATATATCGCGTTAATATCAAAACAATCGAATATGAAAATCAATCGATCATATCATCTATATATATATTAATGTGGGTAAAACAATAATAAATCATCCCCCAAATAAGCATAAATAGGTGGTACAAAACCATTCATCAATGGCTGGTAAACATGGCATTGTTTTACTCCTATGGATCCGAATGTTGTGAATACGTCTTTCACAGCCCAAACACTTCCGCTACGGTTGGATCCATGAGGAATATATAAGAAGAATAAAGAGATATGACGAAATACATCGACTATAGAATCAATGGGAATTCCAGGAGATCCCTTTAATGGAGGTACTGTCGTACTGTACCATGTAAAGCCATATTTTTTTGGGGATATTATCCTCTTACACAGCCCTTACATAGACCTTACATATGGTAGGTACCTCCAATCTAGGTTCCTGAAATGGCCATTGACAGAATCAAAAATCAAATAAGACTAGATAAGAATGTATAGCGCATAACGTGTAGGCACAAGGGGATTAAACAACCTGAATGATAAAAAGTAATGATGGGTTTAATTCATTTCAAGTAATGTGGCAAACACAGAAATAATCAGGAAATATGGCAACCCCAGAATGGGATATCACTGAGATTTCAGAAACAATGGGGATACTGTAATTGGAAAGAACGCCCAGCAGGTAAATCGCATTGTTGGGGTACGGTTTAGACTATTATATATATGTATATATATATATATGTATGTATATATATATATGTGTATATATATATGTATGTATATATATATATGTATATATGTATATATATATGGAAATATATATATATACATATGCACCATAATTGCTAATTAGGTAAATCGGGGATGGTTGTCATTCCCACAGCAATCAAAAAAAAAACAAGTCAGCCTTATCAGCCACAATCTCCCGATGGCGAGCGAAAAACGTCCAAGTTTTTATGGGTTTTGTCTCAAGAGATGTGGAAAATATCATGGGATAAGCAGCAAGTAGACCAGCTTTCGATCAACGTCCCAATGCATAAAAACCAGCCACACCATGCAAGGGATATACCAGAACTGATTGGAGGGAAAAATCGCAGGAAGCCGGGAGATTTGGATGGTAGACATTCACATTACCCTCCGGTAATCAAACATGGCAAGTGAACATCATTAATGGAAGATTTTCCCATTTCAATCTTAATTTATAGGGGATTTGGCATTGCTAGTTTGATTACCAAAGGGTATTGAAAAAATGACTATATATATAATATATATCTATATTTGGATTGTAAAAACATGTACTCTCTCGCTCTCTCCCTCTCTCTGTCTGGTAATTTGCGAACATTGCCAATTGCTTGTTGATATATAACTATGGAAAACTCACTATACATGGTGTTTTTTTATAGCTATGTTGGTTTCCAGGAGGGTAAGCAATCCAAACCTGAAGAAAAAACAGGTTTCATCCTCGGATGCCCCAACTGTTTGCCATAGGAACAGCTGCCAAATTTTGCCTGTTTTGCCACGTGGTTTGCGCGGAAGTGGCATGAACCAATACACGTACAGGAATGGGTCTTGGGTTCAATGTTGGCAAACAATTTGTGGAGAATCCACTCTGCTCGTTCATATCTTTGACATCTTTGACTAACCTGAATTCATGTCAAGCATGGTTCATCCCCATGAAACATCATTCACACTATACCCAGAAAAAGGATCCATGGTGCTATATTAATGGTAACATGGATCCCATCAATATACCCCATTCATGTTAGCATATATACCAGCACCATGGATCCGTCATGGGATACTGATTCAGAAACCTGAACAGTTCATTTATGTCGTAACGTCGGCCATGTGTTTTTTGAGATCGTTAAAGGATGTTAAAGGTCTGTACATGTTCTTGGCTTTCCTCGTCAAACTACCCAGCCAAGCTTTCGCCAGATTACATCGCCGATACCATCTGGTAATTTGACGTAATTTGTGAAAAAACTCTGGAAGACATGGCAAATGAAAGTAGAGGATTAAAAATTGCGTGGTTGTACGTATAACACACGGTGAAAATCTCAATTGCAAATTAAAAAATACCATCATGGGGTAATAACATATTGCCCATAAATTACGTTGATATCAATTACCATATAACTGATAAATTATTACCGTGTTTTTCTGATGGTACACCCTCCAGCGCCAAACGCCAAGTAAGCGCCTTGTCAGGGCATTCTTGCTCAGGGTCGCTCTCCTGGCCACAGTTGACCGGGGATCATCAAGTCCCAGTTTACGTAGAAAAAAACCATTGATTTCTGAGGTACCAATATTTGATATATATCTGGTTGGTGGTTTTAACCATCTTGAAAAATATTAGTCAGTGGGAAGGATTATCCCATATATTATGGAAAATAGAACATGTTCCAAACCGTAATATTGTATATACATGCGTATACAGTAATAATAATAATAACAATAGTAATAACGATATACGTTCTAGATTCTAGATTCTAGTTTATCAATATTTTGGGGTTTGACACTAGGATTTATATGGATTTATTCGGGTTGACATTAGGATCATATTTGGTAATATTAGGTATAAGTAACGGATCATACTGGCAAATAACCGCAAAATTGTGAATAATCCCCATCTCCTTTTACTAAACGTACCCCAAATACTAAAAACTCCTCCAGGTATTTATTATTTCGGGGGGAACCGCTGTTTAGTAATAGGGGGAAGGGATTATGGAGGTTTCAAATCACATCTTATTTTGTTCATAATTCAGCAAATCTTTCCAGCCTCATTCATCGAATCTAACCGAGATTGGTATTTGATCACATCCTCATCTGATATCCCGGTTGAATATCATGGGGTCCGGAATGGTTTTGAATATTCTTTCTGTTTTGTTTTGTTTTGCGGGGGGGATTTCCTGTTCTGTTCGTTTTCCTTGCTATTTGCAGCAATTTGGAGCTGGAAGCTGCCATTTCAACGGCATCATTTCGGTGCTCAAACTTTTCACGTTGCATGGCATTTTGCAACTAGGGTTCCTTTAGGAATTGTTTAGGGTTGTTTTAGGGTTTAATTATTTAGAGTTGGTCAAGGGGTGGTCTTGGGGTTGGTTTAGGTTTGTTTTAATAGTTGATTTTAAGGTTTGTTGAGGAATGTGTTTTAGGGTTTATTTTGGTTTGATTAAAAAAAACAGGGAAAAGCACAGAAGCAGCAGCAGAAAAAACAGAGAAGTGGAAAAGCAAAGAAGCAGAAAAGAGAAGCAAAGAAGAAAAGCAAAGAAACAGGGAAACATAAAAAAAGACACAACGGCAAAACAACAGCACAAAATAGCCCTCCAACATCATATCATGGTGACTCAAGATCCCAGTTTCTCTTGGTAGACCTGGTAGACACTCCAACTTTCTAGGTCAATTTTGCTTGGTTTTCCCTGAATCCTCCATCAAACTCTATATATATATATATATGAGCGATCGGCAAAACCTCAATTGAAAAATGCGATTTAGGGTCAAAGTTATCGTTTTTGGGACTTCACTATATCGAATACATACCTCCTACACGGAGAGTTTAGCCTCTTGCTCATATGTATATATATATATATATATTCATGTCAATCTGAGTGATTATATTATATCATATATCTCTGACTGGTTGGTGGTTGAGCCCTACCCCTCTGAAAAATATGAGGTCGTCAGTTGGGTTCATCATTCCTAATATATGGAACAATATAAAATGTTCCAAACCACCAACCAGCTAATGTTGGTGATCAACATCAATCAACATTTCCGGTTCTTTGCCATTGCACTTATTATGACTACCGTTGACATAAACACTGTCATTGTTCAAAAAATAGTATGTGATTGATAGTCACTATTACTATTAATAAATTAATTAATTAATCATATGTATATAAATAATACATATATATATATATGTATTATTTATATGTGATTTATATATATATATACTATATATATAATTATATATATATATATACATGTCCAGAAAAAAAAAAAAAACAGCATCTTGCAATCGACTGGGTTTCTCCGAGACGGCCAGGTCCAGGCCTCGAAGATTGAGAAGTCTGACACGGTGGTGCCCAGGTTGATGTCCTCGCTCCACCAGTCGCTCTTGCTTTCCCCAAACTGGCCTTTGTTCCAGCTCCCTGTGCCGGATCCGTGGATTCGGAGTTTTCCGTGGAAATTTCTTGTTCGTCAGAATGGTCAAAATGGATCAATTTCCATGGACTCCATGGAATGCAATGATATGCAATGTATATGTATATATTCTATTCATGGTGTCATTTGTGGGGTCAACATTGGAATATGTCCATCCGTGAAGCATTTGGGAGCAGCTACTCCCCTGTTTCTTAGCATTGAGAGAGGGCTTTCCATAATATGGGCAAACGGCCAGAAAATCAGAAAGGGGTAATTAGATGGTATACCTCAGAATTGCAATTTCAATGAGAACTTGACGAAAAGAACATGAACAGTGATAAGGCAAGAAGTGGATTTCGGGATACTCTTTCAGACAAATCCATGGCACATATCTCGTCCGTAAGTAAAGAAATATACAACTCACTTAAATGGCATTGCAGCCATGGCCCGAGGGCGATATCGCCGGGATATTCGCAAACACTTTATGACCTTGTCCACCGGATGTCGTATATGCTTAAGACTCGTTCTCAAGCGCGTCTTGTGCCATTTTTTTTGCCCCATGCGTTCCTGAAAAGGATGCCGGCTGACACCGGTCTATACTGCAACGCCAAGAGCCTTCATACCAGCCAAAACGAAGCCACTGCATATAATGGCCTCCAACCCCCCACGGGGGTGGCTAGCCATCTACCACCATCCGTCAAGATCTCATATGCTCATATGCTCATATGCTAAAGTACCTTTATACTATCAAGATCTCATGTGCTATACATACGTGCTAGCCACAGAATACCTATACACTATCTACATGATACCTCTATAACACCCCACCCATACCACGGGGGGGGCGGGGGTAAAGTAGACCCTACATCGATCATTTATATGCTAGCAAAATGTCAACTATATCCGACAGCGTACATACAGTACCATGACCATGAGGGGGGAGGGGGGTTGCAGGGCTGAGCCACATATATATATATATATACACACACACGGTGTATATAAAATACATATGTCGTATTTCATCATATTTCCAGGCTTCGCATAGTTTCCCACTGTTCTAAATTTATGGTTATAATTGGTTATCGATGGTTATAAACAAACATGTTCTAAATGGATATAAATGGTTATAAATGCTTATAAGTGGTGATAAATGGTTTTAACATGTTATAAGTTACAAATGGTTATATATATATATACATACACATATGTGTATATATATATATAATTATCATTATTATTATTACCCATAGGATCCATGTATGCTATATATGGTAACATTTACCATCAATATACCCCAAATGTTAGCATATATACCAGCACCATGGATCCGTCATGGGTTATGTGGTTATCATTGTCATTCCAGAAATGGGGTGACTTTACTGACTGCTATCGAGGTTACCTGCCACCGATGCTGAATCGAGGTCATCGCGATCCCATGACCCTTTTGAAAAGTCTATAGATACCACTTCGAAGTCAAAATCAGCCCATGAAAATGGAATGATCAAACCATAAAAATAGACATATATAAGATATCATATAGATATCATATATATATATAACTGGTATTTCGGGCTTTCAACTGTAGCCACATCCTGTTGTCCATGTCATCTTTTGACCTGAAAAAACAACTTCTACGGCCAGCAATTGTGAAACAACTGATGACTCGCTGATGAACCCAATGCAGCGAAAAATGTTTTGTGAACACCCTGAGTTGCTGCCAATACACGGACATTCCAATGAAAAAAATGTGTTATAGCAGTAGCAACAAAATTTGCTTAAGTAAAATAACAAACATATATACCAAAAATGCAAAAAACATATACTACCAGACTAAACATGACTAAACCATACCCACATAACATACAAAAATATACTAATCAATTGTTAAGTTGTGCTAAACTAATCGCCATGCTCCGGCCACGCTATTTTAAAACCGCAGAAGTGCCGTGTTGGGCACCTGTCCACTTTCGTTTTTTCCATGGAGAAGAGTTCTTGTCGTCTTTTTCCTCCTTGTCCTCGGCACTGTGGGATGCTGTAGCTATGGGCCCCTAAAATGATCCGAAACGGAGAGTTTACAAAGAACAAAATCACCTTTTGTTGCTGGAGATCAATAAAGTTTCGATTTTTGGCCTGCAGAAATCATCTTAAGATACCTGCGGCCCAGATGTGGTCACATTCCACACAACAAAATTCTGATGCACACGACTATGATCAACTATGTTTGAGGATGAATCACCCTTTTTGTCAGTATCACATAGAATCATTTCTCTTTCGATTTCATCGCGAAAGTATGCGAAAGTCTCAAATCCGAACTGCACTCCCCAGGGGCGTTTGCCCATCCGCAGCTTAGAACGTTGGACGCACACTTGAAAATCGTGGCACAACAAAACAAACAAAAATGCTGAAAACGCTGGTCTGTGTGTTCATGTAGAGTGTTGGACACAAACCTGTCCTTGTTTGGTTGATAATCCGTTTTTGGGGGACCAATAATTTTGATCTAGACCTTTTAGTTCCATTTTGCGAATATAGAGGTTAGATTTTCTGAAGGTGATGTTTGATTTCATGGTGGTTCATCCACGAATTGGGAAGTTTTTAGACCCACACCAGTGTCATTCGCAAAAACAGATACTTTACTTCGTGTGATCCCCACCATGACATTTATACGTTTTGTTACTGGCAAATCTTCTGGCATTCTATCTGACATATCTTCTGGCAAATGTTCTGGCATATCTTCTGGCATTCCATCCGGCATTCTATCTGGCATATCTTCTGGCATATTATCTGGCAAATCTTCTGGCATTCTATCTGGCAAACATTCTGGCACTTTATCTGGCATATCTTCTGGCATTCTATCTGACATTTTATCTGGCATATCTGGCACTCTATCTGGCATACCTTATGGCATTTTATCTGGCATATCTTCTGGCATTTTATCTTGCATATCTTCTGGCATTCTATCTGACATTCTATCTGGCATATCTTCTGGCATTCTATCTGGCCGTTGAGGTCCAGCGGTGCACACTGAGCTTGGAAGGTCCCAGGTTGAGGTCCAGCAGTGCACACTGAGCTGGGAAGGTCCCAGGTGGAGGTCCAGCAGTGCACACTGAGCTGGGCAGGTCCCAGGTTGAGGTCCAGCGGTGCACACTGAGCTGGGCAGGTCCCAGGTTGAGGTCCAGCAGTGCACACTGAGCTGGGCAGGTCCCAGGTTGAGGTCCAGCAGTGCACACTGAGGTGGGCAGGTCCCAGGTTGAGGTCAAGCGGTGCCCACTGAGCTGGGAAGGTCCCAGGTTGAGGTCCAGCGGTGCGCACTGAGCCCGGACGTTGGCGAAGAGCTTGGCGAAGAACAGTGGACGTGGAAGTGGAGGCAGAGGTGGTGGAGGAGATGCTGGCGGAGAAGGAGCAGGAGGATAGCTAGCCGAGGAGGAGGAGAACAAGTCTGATAAAATCTAACAACCCTCACCTGGCAGGTGGGGAAAAACATTTTATTTTCTCACCAATATTTCCCTATTTGAGTTGGGATTCAATATATAATTAATTGGGTTTGTCTGGCCATAAGGTACCTCCAAATCCACTGGTTATCATCATTGACTTTCCAAAAAAACACGTTTGGGGGGTTACCACATTTTTTGGAACAAAACCAATTCCATGATTCCTTGATTAGATCCCAGTTTTTTGATGGTTACAGCTCCATTTTGGTTAGTCAAATCCGATTAAAAACAATTGTTTTAGCCGAGTCTCCTTTTCGCCTCCTTCTTCTCCCTCTTTGCTCTTTCCTTTGCCTTTGCCTTTGCCCTTGTCCTTGCCCTTGTCCTTGCCTTTGCCCTTTGACAGGCCCTGGCTGTTTTGGGGAAGTGCTCGAGATGCCACTTGATGCCACATGTACTTCCAGGGATTGAGCACAAGAGGGAACCAAAATCATGAGTAAACGGGACCCATGAAAGTTTGGGTCGTTTTTCTTTGTTTCCGATCCTGTGAAATCGCCGGGTATAGCTACGCATGTGTGTGTGTGTACGTACGTATATAATATAGTCGTATACACGTACGTATGTATGTATACGTCTGTGTGTATGCATGCATGCATGCATGCATGCATGGATGGATGGATGGATGGATGGATGGATGTGTGGATGGATGGACGGATGGATGGATGCATGCATGCCTGCCTGCATGTATGTATTTATGTCTGTCTGTCGGTCCGTCTGTCTGTCTGTCTGTCTGTCTGCGTGTATGTCTGTATTACCTGTATGTATGTATATATTATATATATATGGCGGTTGACCTAAATTCCTTTTTCTGCAAACGGCCATTCTTTGCGAATAGACAAATTCTTTCGCGAATCTTTCGCGAACTCCATGTTTGTCTTTCGCGGAACCCATGTTGAGCAACAACTCCTCTTATGAAGATTAGTTCATCACTTGCCAAATCACACCAAATTATCACGGATAACTTCTTCATAGCCTTGCAAACATGCTGCCAGCATCACGGACCCTTCTCGAACAGGTTGTTGCTGATTAGGCAGTTTTTTGCAAGGCTTACCGGGCCACTCCCTTCAAAATGCACTTTGAACTTCAACAGCCGTCATGCCAGAGAATTCCAAGACGGCCATCAACTCCATCACAACCTTCCTTGAAGAGTCCAGCCTCGCCCCCGTTGAGATTGTGTTGGCAATGCCAACAAGAAACTTGCGCATCACTCCGGCTGATCTTTCAACAGCCTGCGCAGCCTGCGAAAAGCCAAACGATGGAAAGCCCAGTGCCTCCGCCAGGGGTGAGCCTCGCTTGTAGCCCGCCACCGCCATGTTCCCACCCTGGCATTCATGTACCTAGCATAATTGGATGCGTCGTCTGATGACTTTGCATCTGAAGTCATCAGCAATGCAGTCATCAATGCTGCAATCAGTTCACCAACCTGGTTATAGAATGACCTCCCAACTCCTGCGTACCTTGTTTTGTCCTTGGAAAACAACCCTTTCGCCCACTCTTTCGCAGAACTTTCGCGGAACTTTCACGCAAATTCCCCTCTCCGCAGACCCCAGCCATCAGCAGTTGGCGCATCAAAGGAAAAGCAAACACCAGGGGCCTTGTTGTTTGGCTCTCGCAAAGCCTCACTTTTGGAAGCTTGGCTGCTGCATTTGGAGCTTGTTTCTTGAGACTTCAGAAAAGTAACGTTAGGCAGTACCAGCGGCAGGTGCAAGGATGTGCTTCGGAAGTTGGCTGCTACCTATGAAGGGAAAGGTCAATGTGCGGTACCATTCTCCTGCCGGACCCCCGGGCGGCAGGTGGTGGTAGCCCTTGACAAGCGGTAATGTATACATGATAGTGAGTCATACTATCCAACTTTCGCGAAACTTTCGCGAATAAAAAAGTTTCTTTCGCGAACTCGCCCAAAAAAACCTTCGCGAGGGTTCCCAGCATAACATGAACGGTCTACGCAGTTAAAACTCTTTACCGGGACCTTTAGATGGATCACCACATATATATATATAATAGATGACTTAATTTAATTCTATAATAATGTATTAATATATAATCACCGAAGGAAGTTTGGAAGTCAAACTTCCGACAATATGGACAGATGGAAAAGCAGAGGTGGGAAGAGTCAGAGAAGAGAAGAGAAGAGAAAAGATCAGAGAAGAGAAAGAGTCAGAAGAAAGAAGATGCAGGTGCGTCAAAAGGTAGAAAAGTCGCGATTCACTGTGTTTTTCCAATCGGTCGAAAAGTAGGCTCGCTAAAGCGGCGAGTGCGGAGCTATCTGGCCAGATGAGAGATAAAAAATTGTGCGCCGTTGTGGCGGCAAGCACATGTCCAAGTCAAAATGCAGAAAGCACATCAGTGTCGGACCTCTTTCGGAAGTTGACATGTCGAAAGAGTGCACGCTGTTGTGGCGCGAAGCACATTTCCAAGTCAACATGTTAAAGACACCACATGTTCGGACGACTTTGGGAAGTTGACATGTCGAAAAAGTGCACGCCGTTGTGGCGCGAAGATGCGCTAAGCACATTTCCAAGTCGAAATCCTACAGACACCACATGTTCGGACCACTTTTGGACGTTCAGATGTCGTTTTCCGTGGCAGGAGCAAGGGATTGTGCACCTTGTCAAAACTGAGCAAAACGTGGAGCTTTGTAGCAGTTTCAAAAGCGTTGGAAGGCGTGGGACATTTGAAGAGGATCTGCAAAGATGCATTTTCCATGGCAGGCGCAGTACAAGAGACATGTTCATCAGATGTTAGGAGGGCCGGGCGGTGATTTCCTGAGAAGGGTTGCATTTTGGAGCATCAGATCTTCAGGTTTGCTCAGATTATTTTGCGTGACAGGTGCAGCACTTCGTATGACCTGGCATCACTTTTTCGTGGCAGGCGCAGCACTTTAGACAGATGAAGTGGAAACATCGCAAAACGCACTGGTACGAGGCCGTCAGCTCTGCATTCAAATTTCCATTTTGGAAGGAAGTCTCGCAAAATTGCTTTGTTTTTGATGTTGTCAACTTGAAAAATTGAGGAAGTCTCGCAGAATAGCTTCGTATTGAGGAAGTCTCGTAGAATTGCTGCGTTTTTGATGTTGTCAAGTTCAAAACTTGAGGAGGTCTCGCAGAATTGCTTTGTTTTCAAGCTTGCAGATTGACAGATAGATAGATAGATAGATAGACAGCTGCAACTACAACTACCACTACACTACACTGCTACTACAGCTACACATACAAATTTACTACGCTACATTACACTACACTAAGTGCACTACACTACATTAATCACATCTAAGTACACTACACGAAATTAGCTACATCTAATTACATCTAACTAATTCTAATGACATCTAATGACATCTAATTACTAATTACGCTACACTACACTAATTACACTAATTGCACTAATTACTATTACACTAATTACACTAATTACACTAATTACACTAATTACACTAATTACACTAATCACACTAATTACACTAATTACACTAATTACACTAATTACACTAGAACTACTACTACTACTGCTACTACTGCTACTACTGCTACTGCTGCTGGTGCTACTGCTACTGCTACTGCTACTGCTACTACAACAACAACTACTACCACCACCACAGCTACAACTACAATTACAACTACACTGTAACTACGCTACAGTAATTACATTGCAGCACACTACAACTACAAATGCAAACGCAACTTCACTACATTGCTACATTACACAACACTACACTACACTACGCTGCTTACATTGCATGACACTGCAACTACAACTACCACTACATTGCACTACTCTACACTGCACTAATTACACTACACCACAACTACAACTGCAACTGCAACTGCACTACACTACACTAATTGCACTACACTACAACTACAATTACAATTCCACTACACTACAACTACAACTCCACTACTACTACTACAACTACAACTGTACTACAACATCCAGCAGTTGTGGTGAGGTGACCACTGCAACCATCGCAACCACTCCAAAAAACACAACTCCGACCACCTTTCGGTCCATCAGTGGATTCGCTCTGCCATCCGTGATTCACAACAACCAACCTCTCCTATAGGTTCCCTATTTTTGAAACTTCCGCCACCGCGTTGTGCGGTACTACTGGTATATTACACAGCCAACTACATATCGAAATAAACATTCCCCATATTTTTGCTTGGGTCTCATGATATCCCTACTGACATACTGTGGATGGAAGAAATCCTGCACCAGTTGGTAGATGGTTTATCCCACTATAATCCAATTTTTTTTACAGTGTTTCAAGTTAATGATATTTACCAACTGGTGCAGGATTTCTTCCATCCATTCCCTCACCTTCCAGTTGCCTATCAGATAGGTAACCAACCCCCAAATCATCAGGTAACATCATTCGAGTTACCCATCTCAGAGGAAACTGGAAGGTTCGGGACGGTACAACGTGTGCCCCCCCACTGCCGTTCATTGGTTTAGATTCACCCCATGAATACTATAGCAATCTTTGCGTATCATAAACCATCGTGAAACTGGAGTCATTCTAAAACCAACTCAGCCATCAATCAGCTATAAATCCCATACTATAGAGAAAATCCCTTTGTTTGTTGCTAAAATATGGTTAAATCACCATGTTCCTATGGTTTTTCAATACGGGGGGCACCACCCCAAGTAGCTTTGTTGCAGCAAAATCATCCACACTTCGGTGTCTTCCCCGCCTTCTCCTCATCCTGCGAGATCGTCACTTTTTGCGAAACAGAATCATTTGTACAGTTATGGCCATTTACCAGTTATAAGTGGTTATTTCTATGGGATTATACATTCTATAATTGGGGTTTTGTTAGTACTTATAATTGATCAATGGCCATGACTGTAGGGTCTGGAATTCACATTTAAACTGTTTTTCCCCACCTGCCAGGTGAGGGTTGTTAGATTTTATGTCAGTTGCCTCCTCGTCCTCCTTCTCCTCCTCCTCCTCCTTCTCCTCGTCCTCCTCCTCTCCTCCTCCTCCTCGTCCTCCTCGTCGTCCTCGTCGTCCTCGTCCTCCTGCTCAACTGCGACTCGCGATCCACAGTGTTCGCTGTCGGACCTCAACCACGACCATCCACGCCCAGTGTTCCCTGCCGGACCTCAACCACGACCATCCACGCCCAGTGTTCCCTGCCGGACCTCAACCACGACCATCCACGCCCAGTGTTCCCTGCCGGACCTCAACCACGACCATCCGCCCAGTGTTCCCTGCCGGACCTCAACCACGACCATGCCCAGTGTTCCCTGCCGGACCTCAACCGCGACCATCCGCGCCCAGTGTTCCCTGCCGGACCTCAACCGCGAGTATCCGCGCCAAGTGTTCCCTGCCGGACCTCATGTAGGAAGATATGGGACAAAGAATGTGCAGAAGAAAGTTAGAAAGAATGTCAGAAAGAATGTCAGAAGATATGCCAGAAGATATGCCAGAAGATATGCCAGATAGAATGCCAGATAATATGCCATATGCCAGATAGAATGCCAGATAGAATGCCAGAAGATTTGCCAGATAGAATGCCAGAAAATATGCCAGAAGATATGCCAGATAGATATGTCAGAAGATATGCCAGAAGATATGCCAGAAGATATGCCAGAAGATATGTCAGAATATATGCCAGAAGATATGCCAGATAGAATGCCAGATAATATGCCAGAAGATATGCCAGATAGAATGCCAGATAGAATGCCAGAAGATATGCCAGATAGAATGCCAGAAGATTTAGCCAGAAGATATGCCAGAAGATATGCCAGATATGTCAGAATATATGCCAGAAGATATGTCAGATAGAATGCCAAATAGAATGTCAGAAGATATGTCAGATAGAATGCCAGAAGATTTGCCAGTAAGAAAATGTATAAATGTCATGGTGGGGATCACACGAAGTAAAGTATTTTTTTTTAATACACATGTATAAAAGAAACATAGAATTAACATCTAAATATATCTAAACTATGTCTGATAAACGTGTATAAAAATGTATAAAATACATAGAATTAAAATCTAAGCATATCTAAACTATGTTTCGTAAAAAATGTAAAGAAATACAATAATACATCATAATACATTGAAATTGAATCGTACGTTTCCGCGCATAGAAAAAACATGTCTCATGAAGAATATCCAAAAATAAACATCATCAGAAAGCCTCGTACAGTATTGAATCGGTTCATTTTTGGAGTACAGATCTGGGTAAGTTATAATAATTCACTAACCAGACATGTGGAGGACTTGCAAGTCACTTTGCACGATTGAAGCAGGCTTAGAATTGGTAATCAATTGATAGCAAGTGCATGTATATCGACATATGTATAATATAATATCGTTGTTTGCCAAATATTGCCAAAAATAATATTGATGTAATATGTCAGATAGTATTTATGTCTTGCATAAATGTTCCCCATTCATGTTGATTTCACGTCATCATGTCAATCCCTCCAGCCACAAATCCCAGCTGGGTTAGTTCATCTTCACCCAACATAGCTTCTTCTCGCCACCTCAAAAAAATGCTAACATCAACCAACCATCATGTATCTAAGTGGTATCGACGTAATTATATCTAATGATAAGTTCGCATATATGTCACGATAATGAAAAACACCAACACATTTCTATAAAGCTTAGATCATCGTGAATCTGATAATATTGATTTTACACAAAACAACATGTGATATATTGTGATATCATGTAATATAATGTGAATGAATCACTATTATTATGAATATCCTGGGTCATATGTGATTATAGCTGTAATAACTATATAAGTATACATAATGAATCACAAAATATCATGAGATTATAAAATCTCGTTAATTCCCAATGAATTATCACATAATATAATTATCATTGTTTGTCTGAAAATAGGGTACCCCTAAACCTAAACCCAATGGTGCATCATAATAATTCCCTAATGATGGTATACCGTATACCCCATTTCCAGACACACCCTATTGCTTGGGAAACTGGTCCAGTCCTGGCTTTCAGCAGGCCGTTCTCGGGCCTGCTTTTGAGCACAGGGGATCGCATTCAACAAGGGCACTGATCAGAATCGTATCATGATTATAGTTTTATATAATGTTTAATTGATGATTATTCAACAAGGATGTTTTTAAATATGTTTCTTATATGTTGTTTATTGACCGTTTATTGAATGTTTCTTTTAATGTTTCAGGATTGCGTTCCGAAATGGGGGGTTTCTCATAAATCTAACCAACTGGGCCATCCTGAACTCTGGAGCTTCCTCTCTTATGGGGCCCCTGCCAAAGCATCCAAATCATCCAAAATGTGTCCCTCAAGGGCAAGATCAACTGGTTGGTGGTTTCAACCCCTCCGAAAAATATTAGTCAGTTGGGGTTGCTATTCCTAATATATGGAAAAAAAAATGTTCCAAACCACCAACCAGTCAATGGTTTTGGGGTACCGACATTTTCCGAAAGATCCAGAAAAATAAATCAGAAATAAACAGAACAGTTTCCAAGATATCGCACTAATATCAATGATTCTTGCAGCCAAGATGCCTATACATACCATCCCCCAAAATACCCCTGAGAATCATTCATGTTGAGAGGAACCTGATGGCTCAACCGTTCATTCTTGGGATGGAAGACTTTCCGGTCAAAATCTGGCAGTAACATGTTGTAGACATTCAACGAAAAGTGCGTTTCCTTCGCAATCTGAGCTTCCAGGGACCACATTTTGCGCCATGACTTGACGTCTGGCCAAGTAGCTGGATTCTGATAGAAATCTTCCTCCATACCTCAAGAGTACTGAAACAACTCATCCATTGACCTTTCATTGGCCCAGTTATTTCATGACCCCCAAAGAGGTGACCCTCGGTCACATCTCCAAACAGCTGGAGTGATCCAGCAGCAACGCTCCGACAACGCTCCGGCTTTCGTAACCATCTATGAAGCTCTAAGGACGGGGGCTAAAAACTTTCTGGTCATAGTTGGTCCATGTTAACTCACCTCTCCATGTTTCACTGGTTCTCTTATCTCCTACCATTCAGGAGTTGGTCTATGAAATCCACAACTTTGAGACTTAGCCATCTAGTTTTACTTAAGGTAAATCTTCCATTTCTGCCTGGTACTCTCTGGTTATTTAACATAGGGAAAATGCTCCAAGTTGATATAAATGATATGATGATTTGATTTACCCCATTAAAAATTGTGATTGTCCACAGCTACGTTAAAAAACCAGGGGGTTTTTATCTCGGTCCATCTCAGTTGTTTCACCCAACAAACGCCCCGGGCCGTGTCTCCAAGTCATAGCCGCCTCTTCTTTCTCGATGGGTTGGTGAATGGCTCCGGATTGCCGCCTCAAAGCTGTGACCGAAAAAAACCGAAAATGGTACAGGATGGGGCCCCCAAGATAGCTAAGTTGGTTTATAAATGGCTTAACAATGGTTTATGGTAGATATAACTATAGTTAATGGGGATTATAATGGTTTATAAACCAACTTATAACTGGGGGGCCCCATCCTGTACCCTCTGGTGATGAAAAAAACGCGCCTTGCGAAGTGGATTTCATCACCCTTTCTTTACAGCTAAATCATTAGAGACCACCTACAATGGCCCCCCAGTGATGTGAATGTTGGTTTATAAACCCCATTAACTGTTATAAGTATCATAAACCATAGTTATTGGAGTTATTTGCACCAACTTAGCTATCGTTTGGAGGCCCCACACTGTATCTCGGGTAATTGAACATAGCTATGGAAAATTGCTGGTTTATAGATGATTTACCTCTTGAAAAATGGCGATTTGCCATGGGTACTTTAAATTGCCACAGGGTAAATAAATGTACTATGGATAATTGTCAGAACAATAATAAAAGAACAAACGCACCAAAATATTATATAGGGAGGAACGGCTCTATGGTTTCGCATGGTTACGCGCACCCCTAGAGTGTTTTTGAAGCTGCACATCAAATTATATTGTTCCAGTCCATTGGTACACCCTGGAGCTGCTGTACTTGTGTTTACATGTATGTATCTATGCGTGCATGTATAAATGTATACACATATCACATACGGACTCTGTGTGTGTGTGAGCAGTACAATTCTATATGTACGTATTAAACGAAAAAAACACAGTCCATGGAATTCCATAGCATGCTATAGATGACATTCCATGGGTCTACTTGACATTACATTGCATTTAAAAAAGTCTTCAATCTGAAACCCTTCCAATCCTGATTTGACTGGTTCTTTTAATAGCCATCAGCTAGGGTGTGATCCTTTACAGCTATCTGTTTATGTATATATTCATCGATATACACATATAAAATCACATAAATACACATGTTATCCTGCAAAAAGAAAGCGACATGTAATATTCCCGCATCTAAACGACTAGTACGATGCACAACAATCCATCAAACAGTCAAACCACGGTTCACTCAGAATATGTGTACACCAGTCTACACTCTATGGTAGGCAGAATATCAAATTTGCTCCGTTCAAAGCCCACAATAAACATCAGCTATACATTGCCATAGATGGGGGCAACATTTTTTCAATTCCCAAATGCTAGGACTGTTGATGGCGTTGGGTTTATCACACACATTATTCCAAGATGAATAGTATGTATATATATATATATGTTAATTCATTTATTTATTCTTTCATGTATTTATTTATTTATTTATTGATTTATTGTATATCTACTATATGTATATATATATATTCCATATCCTATTCTATATTCCATCTACCTTCCAAGAGTGGATCATGTTGCGAGCATTCACCAGCAGCAAGCACTGAGCCTCCCTACTTCTTGAGATAAGTAACTAACCTGTCCGAGCAGGACAGAATGCTTTAAGCTTACGATGTGGTTTAGATTCAAGTCATTTCCGGCCAGTACCCTCTGGTTATTAGACAAAGCTATGGACAATTGCCCATTGAATAGATGATACACTGTTTTTTTTTAGTGATTCTCCAGTTCGTAAACCTTTAAATAACCAGAGGGTAATCTTTGATTACCAGCCAGCCATCTTGAGAGATCCTGTTCTGAAAAACGAATGTTCCACCCAAGGTTGGCTTACAATTCCATGCGTTTATCATCCTAGAATTACCAGGTCTCTTGATGACTCAATTGGTTTTATGTTCCCTTTTTCTGCCTAACTGGCAATGAAAACATCACACATGAAAACTTGAGTCTGCAATGCAACACGGCGAAAGCTAACACAGAATCAACATACACCAACTTGAGTTCCTCTGAACATGGGAGGGCCGTACCCAAGTGCTGGCATTTCAATGAGAAAATAAGGATAAACAATTGGATTTGGGTGGTACCCTATCATGGTCAATCTTTGATAGTCCACAAAAACATGTAATATTTTGAACTAGAAATATAAATGATAGTATATTGAGAGTTGCTTGATATTTCTATATTACAATTTAGTATTTATTACCAGTCCACTATTTTACATGATAGTCCACTATTCATAGTCAATATACCATCTGGTTATCTAACATAGCCATGGAAAATCACCATGCTATTTATAGGTAAACCGGTAAACCATGTAAACCATCTATATACCATGTATTTCTATGGCCAGGCCGGGTATCTTGTAATCTTTTGCTGGTGGAATTCTGCTCCAAAATAGCAAGCAACTCTCCAGGGCTTCCATGGGGATAGGGCGGCGACGCCACACCTCGCAAATGAACAGTGACAAGGAGGTGATACTGTTGCTCTTTAAAGCACACAGGGCACGCATATTATAATTATAATTATAGAAGTTATGTAATATGGTTAACTATATAATCAACATGAATACACAGTACATCAGTACATGGATGGTGTTGGAAAAGCTGTCCAACAGAATCACCTCCATATCCTCCATGAAATATACAGTCCACACAACAAATGTGATTTGTCATCAAGCAAAATGACAACCTCGAATTCGATTAACCAGCTCACATAGGATCCATGTATATCCATGTATGGTATATATATATATATGCTAACATTATCTAACATTGGGGGTATATTGATGGTAAATGTTACCATATATATCCATATATAGCATACATGGATCCTATGGCAGGATTCACAGTACTAGTACCGGTACCACATAAATATGTTGGGCCCGCCGCAAGTTCACTCTCGACTCTAAACGCCGCCTTCTGAGCATTTCCGCCAAATCCTTTTCCACCACATCGCTGCGAACCTGGGGGAAACCGCTGCTGAGGGGTAAAGGACAGGCTGCACCAGGCATGCGTTCTAGGAAATTGTGAAAACCAACGAAGACAGATACCGGCAACACAGACTTCTACTGTATTTCTAAGAGCTGTCGTATTAAAAGGGTTGCGGCATTGCCTCACATTTTATCAAGTGTCCACCATGTTTTGATCACTTTTTTTTCCGTCTGATTCCCCGTTGTGAAAGAAATTCTTAGTGCACAAAGAAAGAAGTTCTATGATCAGAATTGGTTAGACCTCAGAAAAACCTCAGAAAAGTGAAGTTGGTCAACTGTTGGGGGGAGCACTGGTAAACCCTTGCTGCCATACCCATGGATCAACTCGTACCTTCTGAAGTATTTGGGGGCTGATTTACAGGCTTCAGTCGGTTTTTGGTACCATCGATTAGGTATGATTAGGTAGCATGTGGATGAAAAATACCTACGAAAAAGAGATTCACAGTCGTAGCATTTGGGGATGATCAGTCCCTGAAATAGCGAGACTTTGGGGCGAAAAAAAAAATCTGGCCATCCGTTGGGCTCCCGTGCGCAGTTGTCCATGAACACACCAGGTTGAAATTTTTCAATGACCAGCACCTGGCAGGGGAAACCATGGTTCTTCCATACCGTATGGAGACCATATATATCACAACTCCTTTCCAATGAAACGACCAAAAATTGGTTGTTAACATAAACTATGATCATAAACTACCAATCCTACCACTATTACCCTTTGGTAAATTAACATAGACCCTGCCAGATAGGGGTTGGAAGACTAGTTTCCACTATAAATTGGTCATTTTCAGGGTCAACAAGTTAATTTACCAGAGGGTAATGTTCAACTATCATGGTTGGTTGTTCCACTATTTATGTTCAACTATCTTCCAGATCACCATCACCACGTGGCTGTTTTTTTTTTCTGATTTTCGCTGACTTCACCAGAAATGAGTCGTGGGTCCCCTCGAACATTGGTCCCTTCAACTGTGAAACAGACCAGCCACAGGAAGTAGTGCTCCCCGATTTTGTTTGTTGCTTTAGTTTCACCCCGTTAACTAGTTATACTAGTTCGCATGCAGACAATGAATCAGTCCTAGCTAGCCTAGTTATAAACCAAAATAGATCATAATCAACCAAATCCAATATCAACCCCATCTTCAGTATAAAAAATCATGTTTTTTTCTTCATGGGGTATCATCCATGAACTGATCTTCCAACTCAGTTATACAATTACCACAAACACGAGTTGCAAACATAGAGTTAAGAACAACTATAGTTATCATCACCATACACACTACAAATCTAGTTATAAACCCATGAACAAAACATCAATAGACACTATATAATTACATACACTAGTAAATCACTAGTATACAGTTAGATCCCACAATTATAGTTGGTTAGTAGTTATATCCCATCCGCAGCTGCTGGCGCATTTCAAGGCGCCTGTTTCAAGGCGCCTTTGCACTCGTGCCACAGGATGCCACGCTCCTCGCTAGACTCGGGGGTTTATGGTGATGAAACTAACTCTATATGACATAATATATATAATATATACATATATATATATATATAATATTATGTAAAATATTATCATATATGTGTAATTATACATAATATCATATATATATATATATATATTGTTATTCAGGTGTTTTTTGCTTCAGTACAGGATCTCTTATGACTGTTTACTATTGTTTAGTATCATTTTTTGACCCATACCCATACTGAGCGTTTTTATATAACCACCCAGAAAATCCCAATAACCAAGAATATATCTCCCATGGGCTACGTGTAGAGTATCAATATCCTGAAAGTCAAATTAGATGACGGACCATAATTTGTAATGGTCGGTCATTTAATTTGACTTTTCAATACTTTTCAGGGATATTTATTAACTGAACTGAACTGTGTGTCTTAAAGTCATCTTACATGGTCCATATTGGACAACACGGACTTAAATCGGATCCAGACATGATTGGAGCTGATTTGATCAAGCGAACAAAGGGGACACAAATGGCCAATCTTAGATACCCGGATTTTTTGTGCTTAGTTAGTTGGTCAGTATATAACATTATAATACATTATATAACTACAAATTAACAAAAACACACTGAAAATCATCAATGTTTAAAGGATTGCGTAGTCTTCCAACCTTTCTTTAGGATCTACGCGAGCTGGGGGGATGGTATATGTGACATTATGTGACAACATATAAATTCTAAGTTATGGAACATGCATGAACATGCCCCATTCATCGATAACATAATATTACATTCCCATTAAAACATATCAAAACCCTTCGTCCAGTTCGGGGATTGCCCAGCTTGCCTTGATTTTTCGGGGTAGTGCCATGTGTTACCCGGTTGACCCAGTCGCTTCGCACCTCCGAATAGTCCGGTTTGATCAACTGCCTGACACGTCAATGACCAGCGCAGGAGGACGTGGGTTGGGCAGCTATGGATTGAATGATTCAAGGAGAAATGATTCTGAGAAATGGAAGGAAAACAAGGTATTTAGGAAACAATCCCTTCGTCTTAAAACGAGTTATACGCAATTTCAAAATAAATGATCATCATCTTCCTTGTTAAATTGCCATTTGGGAGTAAAAACCCGAAATTCAGACACATCCATTTTTCGGGTGTCCGATTTGGATTTTCCTGACCAATTCTGGGGTACCTCTGCTGTGAAATCACTGAAATCGGCGACTCGCTCAACAACTTGATCATCATGGTGTATCTGTGCAGTATCCCCATGTATTATGGTGGTTTAACTGTATAACTGTATAACGGATAATGATGGATACATGTTCATGTTCAGTAAAATGCATGGTGTATCCCGGATATATCCCCTTGAAGGGACCAAGCCAAGCAAGTTTTTCTCCTCTTGAAGGTGCAGGGCATGATCTCGCCCACTTCGCAGAAAACATCATGGCAGTGTGAACGAAGTCTCCGTCTGAAACATCGGTTTAAGTTGAAACTAGCGAGAATTCGAGAATGATTGATTTCTGCCAACATCATGGTTTCAAATCAAGAATCAGAACCTTCAAATATGTTCAAATAATCAAATCCAGGCCCCTACATGTCACTGCCAGAGTCATGAGCTAGAGTCAAGACGGTCTGCCATTTTGACATGGAACCCGTCCCTAAAAATCATATGCTTGGGAAACTCTTAGTAGCTCCTTGGTTCACCAGTTAACAGGAAACTATAGGCAAATAGATACCATCAGCTCCAAATCGCTCCCTCCTAACCACTGTATTTTACGCTTTAGGCTTGGTAGCAAGTGAGACATGCCACTGTATAGGGTCAGTATAGACCCCTAAACAACAAATCCGAACCACTGGATAGTTCAACCATGTTAAATCAATATAAATTATAGTTAAAGGTTTGCAGTTAAACAGGGGTCTCTGGAAATGGATTTGAGGTCCTTGGTTTTTACTTATTTCTTGTTTGTGACATCTTTTTGTGGCAAAATAGTTCTAAATACTGTATCTGACCAATAACTATGATGTATATTTTCAACAGGTATTTGGCATGCGTATATCTTGAAAGAAAAGGGCATTGGACTATTGATACCCAAATACCTACAGTATGGGTGCATGCCAAGCAGCACTTACAATCATCATTCGAAATGCAATTGGGTGCTTGGTTGTGTTTGGTGGTTTCACCGTGTGGCTGCTCTACCATTGTGCTGCCCTGTTGAAGTACTGGGGCCATCCATAGTTTGTGCTGACTTAGATGGTTTTAGTCGTTGGGATCTAAAGCCAACCGTAGCACTTCAACCATCCTGGTCCTGTGGATAATTTATGAACACTTAAGTGCAAACTGGTCACACGGGCATCCTTGACATGTTTTTTCCCAAACACCATATGTTCCCATTCAAAATTGCTTAAACTACCTCTGATATCTCTGATTCTTAACGTATTCTTAATGTCGGCCCATCACCGCCATTGGGACAATGCCGGGATGGCTTGGGGGTGTGGCGGCCGGTGGTGATCTTCACCTGTATGGTTGCCATCCTGTTGGTGGGTGAGTGGCAGATTCTTGGTATAGGAACCCCATCGGTGCAAATAAATCGACCAAATATGAAGCGTTGTGATTGATTTGGGGACCCCAAAGCCCGGAAGATCGGCAGAAAAACACTGCCCAAATCAGAGCGCTCCAGCGCGCGAAACAATGTTGGTATTCACTGGTCGGTTTTGCCTAAGTCCTGAAGATTTCTGCACCCTGACAGGCCCTGACATCGGCAAACAAATGCCCAAATCCCAGGGAACAAGGCAATAACCCACCAAGCACTCAGGATATAGGCATTGATTTTTTTGCCCAACTCAGGGTGATTTCTGCGGCCTGACTTCGACACTGTTCATTACCTCCTTAAACGCGGGGGTTACTAAACGGGCCCATTTCATTCCACCGGCACTTCCAAGATCTATAGCTCAACAACTGTTTAAGGTACGAACAGGTCAGTGCAGAGTTTTAACTGTTGAATATAAAGCAAAGTCGGAACTTGGGGAATGATGAACTATGGAGACACTTGCCACTTGCGCATAGCACTCAAACTAAATATAGAGATTGGAAACCTTAGTGAACAAAACTGTTTCTGTGTGTTCACGTATTGTGGCTTTAGATTCAAATGCGACACACACCATGGGAAATCACAAAATCCAAAGCCAAAAATCAGATGCTGCATGGGGCTTAGTGGGATATACAGATTTATACTTTCATGGGATTCCAATTGTTCCATTACTTGGGGAATCCATTATATGTTTCCTTGGGGATCTTGAGGCTCCAGGAACGCTAAGAACATGATGATGGCGAGAAAAACCATTGGGATATGCATGGGCATATAATGGCATATATTGGTTTATAACTCACCATTGATTGGAGGGTTTTGGAAATGGATTCTGTGGCCAAGAAAGTCAATGGGCTGGTTTTATTGTATATACTTTGCGTTGATAATTTGATTTGTTGTCTTACTTACACTTTCTTAAAGGGAAACAAATTGATAATTGATGGTTATCCAGCCTCTATAAATGCGATCATGCTCATAGTTTTCTGCCATCATGTTTCAAACTTGCTTGCTGTAATTTGACCCCACTAAATCCCAGTCCCACAAAAAAAATCATGCTTAAACCTCACTGAAGTCCCAACGGTTCATGTTGAAGCCTCATAAAAACCAGCAGTTTTCACAGTGAAATCCAGCATAAGGTTATATTTTTCCTGCTATCTCTTAGCGGTTCCAATGCCTGACGGTGCGTCCGATCTTCCAACAGGCTTGAGCAAACTCCTGCCGTCGTGTCACCCGGGTACTGTCGTTCGAAATTTGTGAAACATCATGATCTAATATCAAAAAACACATCATCAAATTTGATAGGCTCAATCCATAATTACTGAATGATCCCATCCCCCTAAAATTTCTCCATACCACCTAAATGGTCCCAACTTTGTGGCAAATCCCGACTGAACCATGGTTTCTAAGGTGGTGTTTAATATTAGGGGAAGGGATTATGTATATCTGAATATCGCTGATGTAAATATCAAGGATGATCAAGGTATTGGCCATAGCGGCTACAGATGGTGGTCTAGGCGACGCAGTTTCAAGCAGACAAACATATGCCCAATGTATACACCATGTTCTTTTATACACTGATTGCCTTATTGGGGCAATTTTTAGAACGCACCCAAAAACCAATGCTTCCCAATCGTTGTATCTATTGGGTATGGATCAATGTGTATTATACATGTATATATATAATATATATATATATATACTGTATAGTACAAGTAGGTATGCAAATATGGTATATGAAGTGTATACTATCCACATTTACTCTCGACTCTCGCATGAACTCGAAGGAAAAAAACACATAAACAAATACATTAACAATCATTGACACACCCAGATACTCCATGGTGCTGGCATATTTTTTCCATCATTTACCCAAACAATCACCCAGTTATGTAGGTGAATATACCAGCACCATGGAGCATATGGGATAAACATGACCTATCCCTTCCGTTAAGATATCTCCACAGCCCTTCCGTTTCGTGTTGGATGTCCTGTCGAGTCAGGACCTCATTCTGATCGATGCCCGTTTCGACTTGGTCCAAGCGTTTCGCCAACTCCTGGGAGGATTTCCCAACGAAAGGAACGAAAGGGACGCTGGTGATTTCCCTAGGCTAAACATATAAAATCATAGAAACAAATTGCAAAAACCATGGAAAACCCAGCATTTTGTAGATGATCATATAGTCTGATATTTCGTTTTTCCCATTTAACACACCTTTCTGTTGTATTTTTCCCTTAGGGTACTTGACCCCGTGATTTTTGATCCCAAAAAAAACGGAGGATTCAACCAGCAGCAACCAACACACGTGGGGAATCGAACAATCCAAGCGACAGAATTTGAGCCTGGCCTTTTCACCAAGAAAAATGGTAGGATATCAGCAACAAACATGGAGAGATTGAACCATGGTGGCCCCCTCAGTTTTGGGTCTGTCCTACAAAATCACCAAGGATCTGAATGGAATCGATAGGGAATCATTGATTGATAAAAATGTGAAACATGGTTAATGATTCCTTATAGAATTTTAAAGATGTTTAATTTTAATGGTAAAACAGGGTTTCTGATTCTTACTGGTTTATTCATCATTAAGAAACAGACCTTCACGGTTTTTGATCTCTAATGGTGATGTTCTATCCAATGGAACGTTCACCATTGAGGAAGTCGTGGCTATTTGACCAAGTCATGCCAGTTTCGTCACTTAGACGTCGCACAAGTTATTGCGTGCCCCCTAAAAAACGTAGATTTCCCTCAAGGTGTTTTGCAGATTTGGAGGAGTCGAACAGAACTCTTTACAGTCAAACAACAATGCTGCTGAACCATGGAATGACCAATTCATGGCTGCTTTTCTTGAGAAAAATTGGGAAGCCGATTCGGCTTTTGGAAAGATCAAACATGTCTAAGGCCTAAAGGATTAAAGGGGCCTCGGGGTGATCCACCACCATCAAGAAGTAGAGCTCAGAGCTCGCTCATGTGCTGGCACTCAGAACATCTTCCGTGCAAAATTGAAAATGATACTACTCAGTACTCCCCAATTTTTCGAATGGTTTCCAAAACTCATCAGAACATGGCCAATCTTAGATACCCTGTAAGAAATAAATTCTTTGCTGGTGAACGTAGATAATCTCATTGATACCAAAAGACTAAAGGATTAGTTTCTACCCATCCAAGATTGCCCTAGTTATTCTCCCATTGTATTCCCATCAACCAGTATACATTGTTATATTATATATTGTTAGACATACACCATATATCCACTATAAATCCATTATAAATCCACTACCCATCCAAGATTGACCCAGAAAAAAGGGTTCATACCTTTTACCCATCTGCATCCCATTCAACCTTTCTTGCCAGTGGGATGAGAGTGCACCTTGATACTTCCAATGTTGGTGCCCGAAGTGGATTGATTTGACTTGGAGCAAGTAACCCCAGCAACTATATAAGCAATCATCAGATTCAAATTGACAAATGACATATAACTCGAAAAAGCTCTTGTTGTTGATTAATCAACATATATTATCTCGAAAAAAAATATATCAACTATAGTCATGATTAATCAACAATATTTTCCCAGAAATTTATTGGTTGAATCCCCCATATTGAAAAAGGGTAGATCTCCATATTGTTGATTAATCTGATTAGATCCCGGTACATTTTTCTTGTTGAGATTCACTGATATTTCTTGCTTATCAGCAGAGAATTGTTTCGAACACAACTTTTTCTATGTCTTGGTTGACCGCCAGAAAAAACAACATAACTCGACTAACTAGAGAATCAACATTCCAAACAGCTAATTCATCGAACAAAATTGGCCATGTTCCACAATAGATATCCATATATCCATAGATATGATATGTGAAATATTATCAGAGAGCACAAGCTGTGCTCATCGCTGTCCTTGATCAGCGGAGGAAGCACAACCCCCTCAGTGGATAGCGGCTTGGGCCAATTCGGCCAATTCGCGACATTCCGAGGCCAATTCATCCTAACTAGGTAGGTAACATGCAATATATGATAACATATATGATAACGTGTGACAACACATAACACATGTCATGGTGTCTGTCTATCCAGCCATCTATTTTGTTAGCTACCCTCTGGTAAACCTTTACATGACTATGGAAAATCACTATGTTTAATGGGTAAATCAACTATTTCTATGGCCATGTTCAATAGCTTTTTGTATGTTTGCCAGAGGCTAATGATCTCTATTAATTGTATAGCCTCTGGCAGACCTGTTTTTGCGGAACAAGTTTGCTGTTAGTCCAGGACTGTCCAAGTTAAGTTTGGCTGTAGAATGGTGGTGTGATTGGTGTAGATACCTATTGAAAATTGCAATTTATAGTGGATTTACCAATTAAAAATGGTGATTTACCCATTACAAATGATATCACCATCTGTTTGGTGGTGCAATAACCATCTTAAAAAATGATGGACTTCGTCAATGGGTTTCGGATGACAACCCATATATGATGGAAAATAAAAGCCATGTTCCAAACCAACAACCAAATAATAAATCATTCTAATCATGTGGGTACTGTAATCATACTATACATTGAATGTATGTTTGTAAATCGTGCAGCACTAGTTTCATGCAGTTCTACAATACATCCTGAAAACAAGTGACCATGAATGGATGCCTAATAATGCCATTCCCCTAAACCATGTGGCCACCCAACAAACAAAGGGGTTCCAGGGTGGTATTTCAAGGATCGAGGACCGTGGACGGCACATCTTGTCGATGGAACAAATGAATGCAGCGATAGACATCCCAGAAATCCAAAATATAAGCCACAAAATAGCAATGTTCTACCCAAACATCTTGCAAAGCAGTACTGAATCTCATGTTGCCCATGCTCTAAGCTTTTAGGGGGTCAAAAGGTTGCTAGAGACTTGATTAATGAGGTCACGCCACCAGATCCAACATTTTGGTCATGTCATGTATGTCAACATATATCAACTATCCTGATCTATCCTGATTGTTGTGTTTTTGGTATTGCCGAGTATTGGTTTGAAGTTACCCATTGATAGCCTAGTCGTTCAAGTTTGGGGACTCCTCAGCTCAACATACTGAGCCAAGGTTGCGAACGAGCCCGCACCACATGGATGGGCAAAGTCCCGAAAAATAATCCCAATACTCCGTTGAATGATGTTGCAATGTTGGGCGAAACTCAATAGCGATAGCCAAGTTGGTGAACATAACTCGAATAAAAATTGTTTATGGTAATTAGGATATGATATATATATATATATCACTATACTTAATAGTGTTTATAAATGGTGTATATATATATATCATATATATATATTATACATGGTTCATGGTGCAGCATTTCACAACAGCAGTGCCAGTCTTCCTCTCGCTAAGACCAACACCAAGGTACCCATCCTGACACTGCCGGGATGCCAATGCCACGTGGCATGTGTCAGATCGACTGACTGATAAAAATTTCATGATTTTATTTTACATTGCCAATCTTAGATACCCTGCATTTTTTTTTTGCTGGTTAGTAGACATTCCCATTAATACCAAAAGACTAGTTAGGATTAAAGTATCCATGTAAGATTGACCTAGTTTTTAGTTTATAGTAATTTATGTAAATCTATCTAGATTTATGAAGACTATGATTTATGTGTGTGTAACGGGGACATGGGGACATCATCAACCAGCATCATTTGACCAAAAAATCATTGCCAGATTGGTCTCAAGATTGGAATTCCTGCAGGTTTATCCATGTCAATATAAAGCCAAGTTACAATATTACCCTCTGGTAAACGTTCACATAACTATGGAAAATCACAATTTTTAATGGGAAAATCCACTATTAATGGTGATTTTCAATAGCTACGTTAAATTACCAGAGGGTAAGCGGTTTTGAGACAAACCCTAAGATGGTCGTAGACTCTCCGTGCCCGGGGATGAATTGTGCATTTGGCGCCATAGCCTGTGGCATCCTGTGGCATCCTGTGGCGTCTTGCCTCTATAGCCATCCATTTAGTGCGTACGAGGTGGTGCCCCCCCAGTTATAAACACCATTAAGTATAGATCGATATATCTATCATACCCTAACTACCATAAACCACTTTTATTAGAGTTATGCTCACCAACTTAGCTAACAAACTGGGGCACCACTTGTAGGGATATCAACTAGAATTATATTCACCTATCATCGGTTGCGTGGCTTGGCTTCCTGGATTTCGACACCAATTTGCTTCAACAAGACCCAAAGCAAGCCACCCAATGATACTTCAAGCATGTTCAAGCAAAAACTGATCTACATGATCCACTATATCCACTATTTGACAGATGGAATTGACATGACGCCTTTCGCATTTTTGTTTCACAACGAACTGGACTCATTTAAGGTTTCATCGTGTTTCACCTTCCAATTCCTTACCAAGAATCGGCGACTGAAGATATCCAGGGATCTCACCATCCCGGCCCCGGCCTTAAGGGCCAAGTGCCATAGCGACGTACGCGCGGCGCTCCGGAAAAGTACGCCCACGAAGAAGTGTTTGTGTTTTGTTTACGTCGTGAAGATGAAAATTAAAGGGGGTACCAGTTATCCTCCAACATAGACCCTGCCAGAGGCCTGGAAGATTAGTTTCCAGCAAGAATTGATGATTTTCAGGGTACCTGTTGATAATTTTACCTACTGGGTACTGCTGGATATGGCCTTTTTTGGGGGTTCCATGTGTCAAATTTAGCGGGCGTAGTCCAAAAATTCAAGAGTACATCCAAATTATGGCAATTGTGATAGGGGAAAACGAATTCCTAAGCAATCGGGTTTGGGATACCCCTTTTGGAAACAAACCCTTCTAGTCTGTTTCAAAAGATTTATTGGATCAAATTTCGATACAAAAGAAGGGATTATGTCCATTGGTTCAATAGAATAACTATCTCAGTTTTTTGGATAACTGTTTACGCTTACCGCTTTGCTAATTCTGGCGAGATCTCAGGTATCCAAGTAGTGTGGTTCTGCTGGTTGCGCTGGTTGCGCTGATTGGCATCCATCTTTGGTATCACTTTGCTACCTTGATTGGCCTGAGCAAGCTGTTGAATTGATGTTCAGATGCTGGCCATACCACTACATACTGTGGATATCTGTGGATGGTTGCGAAATCCTGCGGCAGGGTAATTGGTAACTATGAAACACTGGAAGTAATGGGATTATAATGGGATGCTTACCATCTAACTAACTCGTGCAGGATTTCGCAACCATCCACAGTATAGATATATAAAGACTGAGGTGCTTATATAATTAGGTCAGACAAAACGTTTCAGAAGGAGGCCAAGTGTAAATCATTGGCGCTTGGATGCCCGTGTTTGTAGATCAAATATGATCAAATCACTGTTGTCTGCGAGGAAGACAAAAACACATTTGTTTGATCAACCGCCAATACAGCAAGCCTGAAAAGCAATTTGTTACTGTTCTAGCAGGATTTTAATACTTGTGCATCTTTCTGGATATTCTTGGGCGTTACTAGAAAGGTCTAGGAAGCAAAACAAAACTAGTCGACAGAAACATAGACCTATGTAAACCTGTGCGACACTGTGAAACCGGCCATAGTATATTATACATATATATATATACACTGTATATTATACTCATATATATATCATGTATTATTCATATATATAATTTGCCGTGTCTTTGGACAAATGCAGCATAATAATAATAATCACTCACACATCTGGCATGTTCAATCTTTTGTATCATACCACCGTATACCTCCAACTGTAGATGGAAGAAATCCTACACCAGTTGGTAGATGGTTTATTTATCCCACTACAATTCCATTAGTTACAGCGTTTCATAGTTACAAATAGTTCCCTGCCTGGTTCAGGATTTCGCAAGCATCCACAGTATGAGTCATCATTTTGAAATGTGGCCCAACAAATTTCTAGGTATCACTTCAGCTCATGACTTTGAAGCAATATTTCTGAACATTCATGCGTGAAAAAAACTGGTTGGTGGTGTTCGCCATCTTGAAAAATATTAGTCAATGGGAAGGACTATCCCATATATCATGGAAAATAAAAAATGTTCCAAACCACCAACCAGAGAGTCATCCTTTCCCAAGGCTTCCTTGTCAGGTCATTCAAGTTGATTCCCCAGGCACTGCTTTTTTTTTGGGGCAGATCGCCAGCGACCGGCACCGCCACGGAACAAGTTTCCAGGAAGCCGTGGGTGGTCGCTATGACAGGCATCGGAATGTCAAATGGGTAAGTCTTGATTTCGCCAAAATTTAAAACAATGGCAAGAAAAATCACCAAATCGCCGCTGGCAATTGAGAGGCCCTGTTCTATTTCAATCTATTTCACATGGGTTTGTCTGAAAATAGGGTATATTCCCAATTATAGCCATTTAATAGGGATAATGATCAGCAAAACCATTGGGTTTAGGGGTACACAACATTTTCAGACACACCCACATGTCATCCAACATGGTTTATCTGTTGATGGTCATGACTGGACCTCAACACGACTGAAGAGGCGATGAAGAGTTCACACATGTCCACAATTCTGAGAGACCCCCACCTCTTGTACCCTCTGGTAAACTAACATAGCTATTGAAAATTGCCATGTTTAGTGGATTTGTAAACCACCTTTGATATCCTTGATCATGTCGTAGCTGTTTGATTGGTTGAGACACAAACAACAGTTTGATGTCTGCTTTGAAACAATTTTTGAAACCATGGCTTGTTGCTTTTCTCTTGACCGAACGCACGCTGCAAGTCTCACTGTGCGGCCAACAGAGCGAGTTCATTGGCTGAGTTAGATACTTGGAGGATCATCCCACTTAGTAAATTTTAACTGGTGAATTAGCCATTTTCAAGTCCCCACTTCTAACATTTGTAGCTGTCATTCTAACAGTTACAACTCCGATACGATTCGTGGGCTGATCTTCGTACCGACTCACGCAGTGTGGAAGCCATCTGGAACCTGAACGAGGTCCATCTGAAACTAGGCGAACGATGGGATTTCTGTCTGTGGAACTTTGAATTTGATCGCCTGTGTTTCCTTCCCATCAAAAACAACAAAACACCCCACCTAACCATCCATCCCATTGTTGTTTAGAACAAGGACTGGTGGATATTATGATGTGATTTATGTGATATTTTAAGTGTCCATCATCATCCATCCCAATTTTCCACAACGTGTTTTGCATTGCTTGGTCTTTTTTCAAGCTTCGGTCCTCCAAAAATCAATGGCTTGTCAAACATGGCTGGGAAATCCCAAAATCCATGGTAACATCTCCGGTGAGGTCTGCAGATGTGAGGCAAATGACGAATTACTTAAAACGATCTCTCTCTCTCTGTATATATGCATATATACATATATACATATATAATAATAGTAATAATAATATAATCATCATCATCACCATCATCATCATCATCATCATCATCATCACCATCACGTAAACCTCTCAGCACTTTCGCTGGACCTCCAAACACCCCGTTCCAGGCCTGCACAGGCTCTACCTGTACTCCAAGCAGGGAATGTTGGGTATAATGTGTCCACAAAGATGAAATTGAACTATAATAATGATAGTAATAGTTGGTACTATATTTCTACCAATAGTGAATATTAGTGGAATAGTAATATAATACCAACTATAATAGTAATAGTGAAATAGTAACAGGGAATATTAGTGGCATAATGTTGGTAAAACAATGCCATAAACCACCCATTTGGGAATGGTAACCATAGCACCTGTGAAAATGGTGATGACTGGGGGATGGTCTATTGTTGTTTTACCAACATTAATCAGATAAGGATGTGAATTGATTTGATATATGTTGATATAATGATATATAATGACATAACCAATCATGGGGGACCAAGATGAACAAATGACCAAGGACTGGTGGATATTATGATGTATTATGTGATATAATGTGACATCATGGGATATAATGGGATATGGCATGTGATAGACATGATCCAGCGATCTAATGTGATAGAAGACAATCAGGATAATCACAATGGTAACATAAGGGGATATCATGGACTGTTAGAACCAATACAATGGGAATAATATATATATATGTGCATTCTGGGATATAATGTAATGGTATACATATAAGCATGTATATATATATATATATATATACATGATGGTGAAATCATGGTTTCCTGAAAGTCGGTTTCTAAGGTGATATAAGACCAATAATTATCATTTTATTGATGCATATATATATACACATATTTGTATACATAATAATATTACTGTATTGTATATTTTATTGAAGATATTTCATGGGATATAACGTGCCACAAAAAACACACCAAAACATGACCCAAAAATCCAACCTGTCGGATTGTTTGAAAAAACACTGCATCTGTACAACCCCAACATTCGAATCTCAATTGGACAGCAAATCCTTGATAATCCTTGATATTCGAATTTACGCTTGGATTTGCAGGTAATTATACCACTAATTATACCATATTATACCACTAATTATTCACTAATTTCCAACCTCTAAATTCAAACCACCCGCCGTTGGTGGCACCCATATGCTCCTCAGGTCATGGAAATTTCCATGATCATTAAAACACACGTTTAAAAAAAAAAACACGTAACCAGCTAAGCAGCTAAGATTTATGTTTTCATGTTTCTACATGTTTCTACATGTTTCTACATGTTTCTACATGTTTCTACATGTTTCTACATGTTTCTACATGTTTCTACATGTTTCTACATGTTTCTACATGTTTCTACATGTTTCTACATGTTTCTACTAGTCAACTAGTCATTTGAAGGAAACCCAACAACAATCAGAACACTTCTAAATTTAGGAGGTCTTTTCATGTACGAAATCATCCTGTATTACCCTCCGGTGTCATCAAACATGGCTAGCTGGGAAATCTCCAATGTGGGCCCCGCCAGTTATAACTTGGTTTATAAACATCATGAACTATAGTTATCTAAACTTATTTGCGTATCATAAACCATAGTCTATTGGAGTTATGTTCACCAACTTAGCTATCATCAATCAGCTATAAATCCCATTAATTCATATTAAATCCCTTTGTTTCTTGGTTAAATCACCATGTTCCTATGGAAAAAAATCGTTTCCAGCCCCCGTTGAAAAACGCGAGCTTTGGTTGGGAAGCTCCAGGACTCCAGGACGGCTTAAACGCCTCCTTGGGCGGCTTTGATTGAGGACCATTGATCAGCATAAACGCCTCGTGCCCGACATGTGGCGTAAAAAGATGCAGAGAAGTCACATGCCGAGTTTTGATGTTTTTTCTTAGCCATATTAATCATCATATAACACCAATGAATGGTGGATTCCATCTCATACAATGTGGGGCCCCCAAAGGATAGCTAAGTTGGTGCTGTGCTTGCAATTAACTCCAATTTCACTATGGTTTATGATACGCACATAATTACAGTTGATGGGGTTTATAAACCAACAAACATCACTGGGGGGCCCACAGCCTAGGAAAATACTGCTGGGGATTTTGGACAAATCAAAGCAACAAAGTTCAACAAAGTGACCATTCCCAAAGTATAGGTAAATCATACCATCTGGTTATTTAACATAGCCATGGAAAATCACCATTTTTAAAAGGTAAACCATCTATAAATGGGCCATTTTCCATGGCTATGTTAGTCATAACCAGATGGTAAATCATACATGTCTATTGCCATTGCTAGTCAGACTATAACACAGGATTAAACCCTGATCCAACTCCATCGAATAGCCAGAGGCACACAATGTGGGGAGCAATTTCTTTTTGCGGCCCAGTGGTGAGTTGAAAATGCTTTAGAATACTACGGCTTAGAACATCATCACCAATAAATATCAAGAAATTAGTAGCAATCACCAATAACATATCAATTAATTATATTAAATATAAGCTGTACAAGACCTACGCAATGTCAGCATGTTTCCAAGATGTTCAAAGGAGAAACCACCACGGAGAAACCACGTCGTTCGCCGTTTCACTGTGGGGCATCCAGGATTGTGTTGACCAGTTTGACCAAAAACAAAGAAGTGTTGCACCCATACACTCCCCATGGTGCTGGAATATGTGCCTACATTGGCGTCATTGTTGGATATGTTTGATGTAATTGTTGGTAAAACAATAAAACATATGCCACACATGGAGCATTTGGCAATGTGAAACTGCTGTACTTCTGGCTCAGTAATTCATGTCATATTCGAAAAAAAATATTTAATTCGATTCATCAGTCTATCACTCTTATTCAACACATATCAACAAAGGCCTTGTTAATCCTGGCTAAAGATGTTCAAACATATCAAAATTGAAGCCACCAACAGCTCCATGAGAACTAATAGTTGAGCATTGAGGGATTAGTTTAAGGACATGACTGATGTCACCACTGAACATCACCCAACCATGAGGTATCTCATCTATAATTGCCATTCAAAGGTGATGTTTACCTTGAGCCCCAAAATGGGACATTTACCAATCTCTGATTAGTTTAAGGACCTTTGTTTACAGGAAACCACTGCGTAAAAACCAGAGTCATCAAGATTGCACAGAGATTTCGATCGAGATTTCGACAACATCGTAATGCGGTTTTTACTGAGTCACTGCTCACATGAGCCATGAAAGATCAACAATGCCAATATATATGGTTGGTTAGTAAATATTCCCGTTGTGGGTTGTAATAATCCCGATGAAGCCACGTGTATAAATAATACCCCTATCGTAACCAATCAGACATCAATTATCAGCTATACCCCCACAATCCCCCACATGTTTTGTACTTTAAAAACTTGTTAAACCCCCAATAAGAAACCTAGAATTCATGGCTAGCCAGTTGCAAGTTGGGTTATCAACCTGATGAATACTCTAGTTATGACTGAAGTATCATGAACCATAGTTATTGTTGAATTATAAAAGCATCAACTTAGCGATTTCGTTTACGGAGGCCTCAACCAGCTGTATTCAGCATGAAAAAAACTACAATTTCCCGTGAAGTCACCATTTGTTGTTGCAAAAAAAAAATCACAATGTTATCCATGTTCCTATCATTTTCCTATGGTTGTTGATGTTTTTTGTTTATCCATGTTCCCATCATATGTTCCCATGTTTTTTGTTGTTCATGGTTCCCTAACCCATCAACCATTGCCAATCTGAAAGATACCTGGCAAAAAAAAAAAACTATTTTTTAGCTGGTGAACGTGGATATTCCCATTGATAGCAAAATATCTGGGTAAATTATAATATTTCACTAACCTGAATTAAGGCCATTTGGGGATGATTTCCCTTACTAACCATGATTCCAGTGAGGTCGCAGTGAGGTCGTTATAATTTGCCCAGAAATATTAAAGGATTAGACCCATGCAAGGTTGACCTAGAGATATAGCCGATCACCCTAAACTGCCACCAGCTGGCGGTTTGCGCATAAGGATTCTCCAGCTCCTCGAGCCATAACCTGCCATTCTGAATGGTGAACGCACCGAGGTCTATTCAATGGCCTTTTGGTGGTTATAAACCATAGACCATTTACAAGTCTTACAATTAGACCATGGTTTGATATGGTTTTATAGACAATTTATAAACCATTTTTGTTGTTTTATATAGTTACTACTATGGTTAAATGTTTTTTTCTTTAAATGGACCATAGTAAACCACAGTTACAACCAGAGTAATAACTATTGCAGCGGGTATATTGGGCTCCCTTTTCCTTGCGGGCTCAGCAGATCTCGTCTCTCTAACTGAACTTACAAAAGGGCTGCGGTAAGTGAAACACATGTCATGCAAACCCTAGTGAAACTATCCTACCAACCCCTACATCGCAACACGCCTCCCGAGGGCGATTGATTCGGGTCAATTGCCCGAGTGTGTGTAGGGTCCTATGCCACTCAGCTCAAGCCCTTTTTCAAACGTCAAGTGCTAAGGAATGTCGTCCATCACGGAAGTGGTAATTCATCCGTTCCAGCAACATTCGCATTCTGGCTTGATCCAAAGCCTTCGTCAGCAAATCTGCTAACATATCAAGCGTGGGTTTCTTACCCAACGCTATTCGTCCAGAACTAACGGCGTCCTGAACCCACATGAATATGGTGTCCACGTGCTTAACACGGCCCAAGCCGTGCCGTGAGGCTATGGCTAGACCTGTGTTAGAGTCCATCCAGCACTGGATTGGTAGCCAAATGCCCCAATCTCGCAATGCTGATTGTTCTCCTAGTCCACCGCAGGCTGCGGACACAAGAGAGTAAAACTCAGCTTCACCACTGCTGAGGGCTATCACCGCTTGGCTCTTGCAACTCGTCTTGGTTGTAGAACCTCCTAGCCTTACGCAATAGCCACTAGTACTCTTCCTTGTACGCAGGCATCCAGCATGATCTGAGTCTGTCCAAATGTCCAATCGAGAAATTGATCGTTGATGAGGAAACAGATGGATCATCCTTGGACGATTCTGCAGGTAGCGTGCACCACGCTTGAGCATCTGCATATGAGCAGTTGTAGGAGATTTGAGTCCCTTTGCCAATTCCTTGGCGAGTACTTGAAGATCTGGCCTGTCCTGTGACAGGTAGGCGAGACGCATGCTCACCGAGCGGTACTTTGATGCATCGTCCGAAGACAATGGATCTGCACCGTCTTCAACTCTTTCTTTGACAAGGGGCGTAGTGACCTTTCCTCCCGAACAGCCCATCTCGCGGATGATGATTTCAGCGTGACGTGGATCTCCCTCAAGTTCTATTCCACGGTTGGTCCATGAGACCAATCGGTTCAGGATGTCAATGTTCTGCTTGGTTCCAGCCATTCCTGGGGGTCCCAGGTAACCTCGAACTTCTACCGTCCAATGCTTGCCCAACTCCTGAGCGAACCACTCAAGTTGGTCCTTTGCACCTAGACCGGTGAAGTCGTCGCCATGTACCTCAACGCGGATGCCTCGCGTGCTGTGGTATATACAGGCAACTATTTGATCGGCCTTGAACGAAACCTAGCAGTGTCATAACCTTCAGGATGGTCGCCTCCCAATTGGCAGGGGCATCCCGAGTACCGTACAACGATTTGCGCAAAAGTCCCACGTACTTCCGCACGTCGATGCCAGCCTCCTTTGGTAGTTCAACCAAAAGGCGTCGCCGGGCATCTGCCCAAAAGTGAGCCTTCTTGATATCCAGAAACACCAAACACTGGTCTAGAGGCATCTCCTGCATGCGACCGTTCAGGTCCGGCGCACGGCGGGTAGTGGCCAAGGCGAACAATGTCCGCAAGGCACTAATTGGCGGCATTGATGCATAGAAATCCTCCCAGCTTGGAGTGTATGGACCATCGGCCTCACCGTTGCGAGATCGCTTCTTGAGCTCTCTTGCAACAAGACGACTGCGGTACTTCGGAGACTTCTCATCTCGCTTGTTCACATCCACCCAGCGAGTGGCTATAACAGGTTCATTGTACGGACGAGGTATGACTTCCCAAACACCCATTTCGGTGATAGTAGAGATTTCCTCTTTTCTGGCTACCTCGACCAACTCTGGCCTCAATGGCTTTCCACTAACATCGTCCCAGTAGGACGCTTCGTACTCTTCAATCTGCTCAGTTCCGAATCGTTCCTCACACACAGGATACTGTTCATGTGCTTGATGAACAGCATTGAGAAATCCGGTACGCAACGACAGAAGAAGATTCGTTGCCATCTCTTCTTCGGATTCGCGCGGTCGCTTGGGCTGCGTCGCACGAGTGGTACCTTCGTCGGCCATTTCCACGTCGCCCGCAGCAGGAGCAGACGGGGCCGAAGGCGCCGGCGGGGCCGGTACTGAAACCGTACTCGGCTCCTCCACGGCAACCTTTGCTTTCTTCGAACCGACTTCGTGAACCCTTTTCGCTGGACGCGCCTCCTGGATGCTAGGAACCTCAGAGGATCTCTTCGCTGATGAAGACGCACCACCAGATGGTCCCGGTGCTGACGCAGCACTCGGGTCACGCACCTGGGGTTCATCAGGCCTTTCCACCTTTTGAAACTTCAACGGCGGATCCTTTCGCTTTGCAGCTTCCACGCGCTTCCTTCCTTCCTCGGTCTCTGTCAGCTTGCGGACCATTCTTTCACGACAATCTTCCCTGAGCATCGCCTTTTGATTACAATCAATTAGCCCCTATGATTTTTAAATTGTTTTTTTTGAAGAGGTAAAATCAAAAGGGAAAAATCATGACTTGGAGGCAATTTGGCAGGAATTTCCTTTTTGATTTTGCTTGTTTTGGATGGATGCTTTTCTTTTGATTTTTTTGGTGTTTTTCCAGGCCTGTCTAGTAGCAAGTTTGCTGCTGCTGCACATGTTTTTTTCATATGTTTCTGCAGCTGTTTGTAGCTCAAACATATAGAAATCAACATACAATAAATATATATATATACACACATCAAAAATGGAAAGCTTTGGAAAAGGCAAAAGTGACATCTGTGGAAGTGAAGGCTTTGGAAAAGGCCAAGGTGAAGGCTTTAGAAAAGGCAAAAGTGAAGGCTTTGGAAAAGGCCAAGCTGAAGGCTGTGGAAAAGGCGATGAAGGCTTTGGAAAAGGCACAGGAAAAGGTGGTGCCAGACACTTTCCAAAACCTTACATCGATTCAGGTCTGCTATACAAAGTATTGGCAGACAATGTGTTGGTTTTGAAGAACCTGGGCAGCTATGAGCATGTCTCCAAAGCCAATTGCCCTTGCCCAAAAGGGTTAGTCCACACCATTGGGCTCTGGAAGTCAGTGCTGAAACTAGAACCTTCTGGAGAGGTCCATCCTCAACCTCTGAGGACAGCACTGATCAGCCTGCTGGCTGAGAGGCCAGAGCTCAATTGCACCTCGAGCTCTGGCCAGGTGTGGGCTAACCTGAGAATGGAAAGGATCTCTTGCATCCTCTTCCATGTGAGGAAGCTGGGCAGAGATGGGCTCACATCTGCTGCTGCCAAACTCTGCAGAGATGATTTCTCACTGCTGCAGCAAGGTTTGAAGCTGCTGGAAATCCCAGATGCTTTGGAAAAGGTACCTAAACCAGTGGCACTTCCTTTGGAAAAGGGAAGAGCAGCAGAAAACTCAAATAGAAAGCTGAAAAAAGAAAACAGTGATGTTTCCATGGATAGCAAAGGTTTCCCCAAGATGTTTGAAGACAGCAATGCAGGCACTCCAAAGAAAACAGGCACTTCCTCTGGTGCTGCAATGTGCATTGCCAGAAGAAGGCCTGGGCAAATGGTATCTTTGGAAAAGGATGGTTTGCAAGCTGCCTTGGGGTATGGGAAAAAACCATTGAAAAGGCCAGCATCTGCTTTGGAAAAGGCATTGAAAAGGCCTGCATCTGCTTTGGAAAAGGTAGAGAAAGCAAGGCCCAAGAAAGATGCAGGCAAGACAGAAAAGAAGAACCATGCAAAAACCTCTTTGGAAAAGGAGAAGAGAAAGCCTTGGCTCAAGATCAAGAAAACAGTGGCCTGGAAAAAAACCAGATCTTACTTGACAGGCACCACAGAAAAAGGTGGAAAGTTGAAGCTGATTGTGGAAGTGTCTGGTGCTAGGTGCCCAGATTGGCACAGCCAAATGGTTGATGAGATTTGGGCTTCTTTGGAAAAGGAAGCATTGACAAAGTCAGAGGCCATAGCCCTGAGGGAGAAACTTTGCAAGGAATGGGGTGCCAACTGGTAGATGCTGCATGTGCACCTCAAGCATTTGGAAAAGTGCTCTGCTCCAGCAATTTTGAAGCAAGTGGCTGCCTTTGGAAAAGGGCATGCTTCTGAGAAGTGTCTGGCAAGGCAAGCCCCAACATGGGGCCAGCCTAGATCTGACCAATTTTGCTTGAGGAAAAAAGTGCATCCAAGAAGGCACTGGGGCCAGGAGGGGTTAGGCTGGTGTCACCCAAAAACATACCACTTCAACCCCCCTTAAGTAATAAAATATATACTTTTTACACACATATTTATATATATATATAACCACAGCTGTTTTTTAAATAGGAATATACCACATGTGCATATATGTGTATATATATATATGTATATATGTATACTATGTATGTATGTATGTATGTATGTATGTATGTGTGTATGTATGTATGTATGTGTATGTATGTATGTATGTATGTATCAATAGACATATATATATATTATGCACCCAAGCCTGTTTTCAAACATGTTGTCAAACATGCATGGTTTGTTCTTGTATAAAGTTGTAAGAAACTGTTTGCACCTAAAAAACATGCATGTCTTATGTGCTCTTTGAAAAAGGGGCAGTTAGTTTTGAGTTCCAATGCATTTTATGTTTCTGCAGCTGTTTTAAACTCAGCTAAGAGCAGGCTCACAGCAAACACCACACTTACAACACATAACAATTTTGCTAACAATTTCACAGCTACAACTCACAGCAGCATATAGGTCGGGACAAGCAACATAACAAGTAACACTCACTAGGTCACAGCAACAACACAAACTTTTGTAGTTGGGGTTGGGGAATCCA